GGAAAGGAAAGACTTATTTTGGGTTGGGCTTGATGTGGAAAGAGACCAAAGAAAGATACTCTATCATCAAAGCCGAACTCGAAGTCTCAAACCCAACACAAAAATTCCTCCTTTTTTTTTTTTTTGTTTTTTTCTTTTCGATATTCAATTCCGCTTTTTTCTTTTTCTTTTTCTTTTTCGTTTTCTTTTTTTTATTAGCCCAGTCCAAAAATTCTCATTAAAAAAAGAGAAGACATAAGCAATAAACCTAACGAGACATGTAGAAATGGAGAGGGTGATTCTGGAAGGAAGAGAAAGAGAGTTATGATGATTGATGAAGAAGAGAATCAATCAAGAATGCAGAGGAGGAAGCCAAAATTCCTAAAACAGATTAAAAGTTTTTTTTTTTTTTTTTTTTGAACATTGAGGAAGTGGATTGGGGAAGAGAAGTAAATCTTGGATTTAGAAGTCAAGTCATGCTACCTTAACTCACGCATTCAAGTAAGTGGCCATTAGATTATCATGGGTTGGGTGATTAAATTTTTTTTTTAATTGATAAAAATAGAATAAAATTACAAGTGGGAAAGCATGGTTAATATCGTAAAATAATAATAATAATTATTATTATTATTATTATTTTAAACTAAGAAAATTGGGGGTAAAGGAGGGGAGATTAGGGACAAGGGAAATTGAATTCTAATGGTGTGGATGGGAAATCGAACTTCTATAGCATGGATGAAAACTCACACAATGATCATTTAAGCCACACATCAAAGTTTATTAATATTGTGAAATTAGGTCCATTCAAGTGTATTAAATTTAATCTAAATTATGATTTTTGGATTTTCTTGATTTTCTCACCAAAATGGAAAATAAGAAATAAGCTGTCAAACAAGAAAGAGACCAAGTGACGTACCAAAAAGAAAAGAAAAGAAAAGAAAAAAAAAAAAAAGAGACCAAGTTCCTGCACTTGGGCAAACTGCCCAAGTTCAAGCAAAACTTCCTTCTTTTTTTTTTTTTTTTATAAAAAAAATAATTGTTCTTGCTTATAAACAGCAGACACTATCAATCAGAGAATCAGAGACCAGGTAACTGTCGAAGGTAGTTAGCATTGCTCCACTAAAAATTTAAAAATTATGTTTTTATAATATATTTGGTTTGAAAAAGGGAGAAAAAAAAAATTATTTAATTACTAAAAAAATTAAAAGAGAAGTAATTTATATTATTTTTTTAATTCTTTTATTTATCTAAATGAAGAAAAAAAAAATAAATATTATATTTTTTCATTTTCCTCTCCTCTCTTCTTTCCTTCTCTATATCTCTCAATCTAAGAATATTATTAGATTTTTTATCCAACACCTATGCTTCCAAAACCACCTTGGACACCGGGCTATCTATGATGGTAAAAGACTTCTCCCCCCATGAATAGGTGTACAATGTTTGTTTTTATGAATTTTTTAATTAATATGAATAACTTACCTTTAAATCGAAGAGAAATTAATCTTAGGGGAGCTTTGGTTCACCACCTTCCCAATAAAAAATTTCCAGGGAAGCCCAGACCATTTAAGCCAAGCTTATGAGCTCATATCTCGTGAATCGTGGCTGAAAATTGATTATAAGACTTGCCAAGCCTGTAGTAAATGGTTACAAGACTACATAATAGCTTATATTGTCATGAAATCGTGTTGCCATTTCAAATATTTAAAAATATTTACTTTTGGGATAGATAGTTGATTTTACTTGAAATATAGAGGGTTATATTGATTTTGAAATTTTTATAACCACTTTTAAATGTTTATTTATTTATTTATGATTTTAAATTATATAACATGAGATAAATTTTTTTAACTTACTTCACTTATATGTTATATGATTTAAACTTAAAATTTTTTATTTTTATTAAAAAATTATTATTAAATTATTTAGTTTATTAACACTTCAATACTTCAATACAATCATAATCTATTATAATATTACATTGAAATTGCTGTTAAGCTTTTACATTTTCACAGCTCATGGCTTCTTCAAAAAGTATTTTTGGATCCAATGTAAACCAAAGAAGCCTTAAGGGGATGCACAAGCTAACTGAAAAGCCAAAATACCCCAAATGAATCTTCATATATCCTGATTTATTAAGGTTTTTATGTCTTTCCAACATATTTTAGTCCAAAGTGATCATTAAAAACAGGTTTAATACATTATTTACACCTTACGTATTATTCTTTTCTGCTATTGCACCTTCCATAAATTTTCCATATGGATTGCAGCTTTCATTTTATGCGTTTGGTCCTTTTGTACCTTCCTATGCTATTTTTAACATTTATACTTTGTTGACTTGGAATTTTAGTCCCTAAAATTAAATTTGTTAGAAAACTAGTTCTTATTCTTTTCAGATTGTATCTGTTAGCTTAAAATACTAAATATTTTAATTCTTCTTTATCTACTACTCATGTATTTCATAAATATGCTTTTCCCAAAGTAGGTCATTAGTTTTATATGGTGTAAAACCTTCACTTTCTATTGTCTTTAAGATAATGTCTATTTATCTTTCATAAAATCTTAATAATTTTTTTATTAATAAAATTAATATAACTAGCTCTAGTACTAGATTTTTTGGGGGGTTTTTTAAGAACCCAAATCAGACTCAGTAGGTTGGTTTTCTTCTATTGAGAAATAAAAGGTCTAGTACTATTTCTTTCAATCTCTAAATTAAATTCAATGTTAAAGAATAATAAAGCCATTTCTTTGCTACCTCACTTCTGCATGATAAAATAAAGGAAATGAAGTTATACCTAAAAATTCTTTGGTCTAACCATTGGCTAAGCTGGGAGCATTCTTCGTCTAACCTTCAACACCACACTTCTAGCTAAAATAGGTATCCAAACAGGACTAGTAACCTCATTTTTGTCCAAAATTCTCTAAGGACTCTCTTCCTCTATTCTATAATAGAGTAAGGAATGATAGAAACAGAAGAATTATTTTAGAATATGCTTTTTATTTCTAAGATGAGGAAGGGAAATCTCTCTTTTGGGGGTGTTTACATAGACATGTTTGAGATAAGGCATTTAAGTATTCAAATGTGTAATGCTTGGTATAGTTTACACTTTATAGGAGACTTTTTTTAACACTCCTTAGAATTTTTTTTCTTATGTCATAATTAACACCTAAAGTTTACATTATTCTCTAGTAGTTTAGCCTTAATTGTCTTCTATTTTTAATAAAATATATTATATCTTATATCTAAAAAATCTTCTAACGTCATAGTTGACACTATTTTTTTTATTTGATTATTTCTTGTGATATAAAAGTTTATGTCTCTTTTGCATTAAATTCTTCAAATAATGATCAATTCCTCTTCACTATCTAAAGGGTTGGAGCTTTAGTCACATTCTACTTTAGCTCATCAATTGTTTTTTTTTTTTTTTACTTTAGTAATTTAATCTTTAAAACTTTTGAAACTAAACCGTCATCTCTTTGATCCTTAAGGACTGACCTTATAAATTGTTGACCGGTAGGAAAATTTTCCGAAGTTGTTGACCTCCAAGATGTTAATGGATGGTTCGCCTATTAAAAATATTTCTATAATAAAAATCACTTTCCAAAAACGGTCTAGATGACAAAAAAAAAAAAAAATGCACACTGGTCCCACACAATAGTTATCTTTCTTCCTTTTGCTTTGTCGTTTCTCTCGTTCAATATTGGATTCCTAGTGCATTTTAGCGTTCAGAACTACCCATTTCTACCGTGTCAGGGTAATGTATTGTTCACCCCTATCCACACATTGTTCCCCTTTATTGCAGTAAGAATTTTTTTTTTTTTTTTTGGGTTTTCTTTGATGAACCATTGCAGTAAGATTTAAGATTTATCATTTTATCATTTATGGTCATTTACCAGCATCATTTTGCAGACTGCAGATCCTGCTTTGAGGGAGAATTTGAGAAGCAAGAAGCTTTATGATCTTCATACTGCGTTTAAGAGAGAAAGAGGGTGGAGAAAGAAGTGATCTTTACAAGGAAAAGTGGACTTTTGTGCGTTTTGTCTTTTTTGGGTGTGTGGGATATGAATTGTGAGCTTCTGGGTTTCTCTTAGGAAGGATCTGTTTTCAGCTTTCTGGGGTCTGCTTCGGTGGGGAAGGACAATGGCTAGGAGTAACGAGGTTAACCTCAGTGAGTCTAAGGTAAAATGTCCAATTTATATTCTAATTTGTTTGATTTCTCGTGTTTTAGTAAAGTTGGTTGTGATTATGTTTTGTGAATTTTTCGAATATGGGATTTATCTAATGCATTTCTTGTAACTTGTGGGTTCTTGGGTCTTTGGGGTTGATAAAGGGGTGGTTTTGAGCTGATTTTAGCTTGGTTGGGGGAATTTCTGTTTGGGGTCTGGGGGACTTCCAAACCTTCTTTAAGTTGGTTGTGTATTTCGTTTTGGTTGTTAAAAGTTGATTTTCTTTTTCCTGATTTAAGGGTTTTGGGCAGTTTAGATTTGAGCAGCCTGAAGATCACGTATGAATATTCTAATGTTTTCCCTTTGGTTGTCTATGGTTTTGTTGAAAAGGTTGAGAATTTGCTGAGCTTGGTTCCTTATTTGGGGATTGTACGAGGGTTTGATAAGATTTTGAAGATCGTGTAATTAAGTTGATTGGCATGTTAATGCTGATTTTGGATCTATCTGCTCAAAATGAGCTCATGTTCATTTCTAGGTTCTCTAGGGTTTCCCTTTTTATGTTTTTCTGAAATTTCTAGTCTGATGCTAATGTGGCTATTGTACATCATTGTAAAGTTTTTCTTTTGGGTTGGATTTTATGGGTTCTTGGTTGTAGATAAAGATCATTATTAATTTTAGTACTGCCAGTGCCAGGTTTATTGAATATAAAGAGCTCTTCTTGATTTTATCAATTCATCATCCTTTTTTTTTTTTTTCGTATAGATGGTGGTTCCACTAAATACATATGTCCTGATCTCCAATTTTAAGTTGGTGTACAATCTTCTTCGCCGCCCTGATGGCACTTTCAATCGTCACTTGGCAGAGTATCTTGATAGGAAGGTCCCTGCAAATGCAAACCCGGTTGATGGTGTTTTCTCATTTGATATCATCATTGATTGCAGTACGGGCCTCCTAAGCCGGATTTATCGCCCAGCCAGTGCAGATGAACCTCAGCCTAATATCACTGAACTTATGAAGCCAGTTACATCTGATGTTGTCCCTATTATAATTTTTTTTCATGGTGGAAGCTTTGCTCATTCCTCTGCAAATAGTGCCATATATGACATTCTATGTCGCCGATTAGTGGGTTTCTGTAAGGCTGTTGTGGTCTCTGTGAATTATCGGCGTGCACCTGAAAATAGATATCCTTGTGCTTATGATGATGGATGGGCAGCTCTTAAATGGGTGAACTCTAGATCATGGCTTCAGAGTAAGGACAAGAAGGTTCATATCTATTTGGCAGGGGATAGCTCTGGTGGTAACATTGCCCATCATGTTGCAATGCGAGCAGCAGAATCGGGAATTGAAGTGCTGGGGAATATATTGCTCAATCCAATGTTTGGTGGGCAAGAAAGAACTGAATCTGAAAAACAATTCGATGGAAAATATTTTGTTACTGTACAAGACCGGGACTGGTACTGGAGAGCCTTTCTTCCTGAAGGAGAAGATAGGGACCATCCAGCATGTAACCCATTTGGTCCTAAGGGTAAAAGCCTTGACGGAATCAAATTTCCAAAAAGTCTAGTTGTGGTGGCAGGTTTGGACCTTACTCAGGATTGGCAATTAATGTATGTTGAAGGGCTCAAGAAGGCTGGGCAAGAGGTGAAACTTTTATACCAGGAGCAGGCAACAGTTGGGTTCTACTTCTTGCCAAATAACAATCACTTCCACACCGTCATGGATGAGATAACTCAATTTGTGAGTTCTAACCATGAATAAATTAACATTACCTACAGGCAGCCATTAACAACGGCTGCATGACATAGTAATCTGGGTAATTAAAGATGGTTTGAAGTTTGTTATATTCTAGTGTTTACTACTTTCTCTTAATGCTAGCATTAGGGGTAGCCTGCTACATTGAGTTCTGCTTACTGGGCTTCTAATATTGTGTTCTGAAGGTGTAATTCAGCATCTACGAGGATGGGATATTAATATTACTATCATTACATTATATAAGCAAATGTGTGGACCTAGGAGGCCATAGTTTAAGGGAGATTTTGGGTAGCCAGAGCTGCTTGACTGTGTTCAGATTACTAGTGAGTTTGTGATTACCAATACTGGTTTCTAGCCACAAAGGGAGAAGTGGAATGTATTGGTAACATCTGGTAGTGGAATGTATGTCGCTAATACTAATATAGCTAATTTTAGGATATGGATGAGAATGCTTCTATAATGCATGGTCTTGTCTGGTTATGTACATGAGTTGGTATATATAGAGAGAGATGCCTTCTTAATTCCGTCTGTTGGCATTTGGTTTCCATTTTTCTTGCTGTGATGCTGTACTGGGCAAAGTGTAAATACAATCAAATGTTGTGCTAGTGAAGTTTTGTTTTAGAGATTATGATTTTCTGAGTTCCTGTTTATGTTTATCACATAATAGCAATATTCCTGATACTCAATGCTAATTTATGGCTTCTGATGATGATGCAATTTCATTGCGTCATCTGAATTCATCATTTCCAGACCTCTATTTCTATGCTGTATTGCCTCCACCTTTTGGTGTACCGAGTCTCTTTAATGGAAATCTATGAAACTGGAGACTAATTATCAATGGGAAAAAAAAAAAAAAAAAAAAAA